GTCATTGAGGTTCTCAAGTATGTAAGAATTAATTTCAACTTGCTGAAGGACCTCTCACAACTAGCAATAGAAGCCCCAATTGTAACAAAATCTGCAATGCAATTCTTAAATTTCAGAAAACGTCTTCACCATATGAAATTATAAATATTAGCAAATCAGTTGCAACCATTAGTTCAGGAAAATCTTTTACTTATCAACATTCTATAGTATTTAATTTCTCTGTACATTTCTGGTCCATCAATATCACCTGGATAACTTTTTTTGCTATGTCAGAACATTTTTTTGCAATTTTCCGTCTTCGAAGTCTCCAGAAACAATATTTTGCACATCTAGTAGAAATCCAAACCGTGAATCTAAATCTAGTAAGCGAGAAAATCTTCCTGTTATTTCTGTAATCAAGCGATCAATAACATCCTTCATGATGCGTAAATTTCCTGTTCATCAGTCAATCCAGCATCAGCTGCATTTTTACCTGGCATTCTTTCAATGGTCAATTCCCATGTTTCACATTGATTCTTGCCCACTTTAAGTGCTTCTTGACAGGACTTTTCACGTGATTCTATCAATTTCTCTTTCAAAAAATCAAGATCAGCAGCTGCTTCTCGAAAATTCATTAATGGGTCCTGAAGACGTTTCTGTACAAGAAAAACATATGTAACAATGCGTTGTAGAATATTATGAGCACCACATTTTGTTTCAGCCGTGTTGCCATTCTCACTTAATTGCTCTAACAGTCCTAGCAATTGATCCAGTTTTTCATATACAACTTTTACTGCCTTTTCTCTTGCACTCCACCGTGTTTCTGATTCACGCTTGACAGAGATCTTAAGCTCCTGCTGAAGTTCGTCCCATCGAGTTGTTGAATAGGCAAAGAAATTATAAATGGCTTCAAGTATACCAAAAAAGGTAATAACTGTTGTTTCCTGACTTGCAGCATAAATACATGCTAAGTTCAAACTATGGTTGTCACAGTTTATAAACACTGCTTTTGGATTTTTTGTTGAACGTCTGACAGATGACCTGACATGACAGCAGCATTATCATAACATTGTGAACACCAATCACTCAATAAAATTCCACCCGCTTCTAATTTTGTGCTTATTGTTTTCTTAATAT